AAACACAGAATGACTCCCCCATCTTTCACTTCTTCACTGGAATCAATTAACTGCTGCTTTTACTTTCCAGACCTTCTTCCTTCAGACATTCATCTTTCTAAGGTGGTTCTTAGTGTACTTCATAAGTGCTGTGGCAAGGGGTACAATGGGAGGCAAGATACTCATACATTTCCATCCAAGAAGAAAGGCATCTCCTCCGAAAGAACTCCCAAATCCCCACTGTCCCAGAATGGGAATCCAAAATTCACTCCATTATTAAGCTCCAAGATTAGAATTTTTATTGCTAGGTTAAACCAAGTGTCTAAATTTGAATGATTACGTTCACCTTGTCACTTGAGAAAATACCTATCTTTCTCCCAACTGATGATGAAACCACCCCATAAGCAATGTGGCTGCCTATACACGCGCTTGGAGATGGGCCATTTTAATTAAAGCGGTTCCCAGACATGTGTTACATTACCCTGCATTTCAAAATGACTGTGGGATGCATAAGCTGAAGCTCATTCAATGAGCTTTAGTTAGAGTGCCCCTGCAGCCATTTTGAAAAGCATGGGGGCTTAATGCATGTGATGCTGAGGTGAGCATTGTATTTAGAAAGTGGAGCAGATTTGATTGAGTCTGTTCATTTGCATTTTAATCAGAACATGAAAAAGCACATCTATAGGCAGCCACATATTAGTTGTATGTGCAATATAACTGTCCATATAGGAGCAGACAGAGAGCTAATCTAGCAGCCACTGAGAATATCGCTGTACTACTTATTAATGTCAGCTATATCAACAGGTTAAGGCTAGGTGAATTCTGGACTTTTTGGTTCTGTGGCCAAACATAAAAAGTGGAAACAAATAGTTTCAGGGAAAAAAACAAAAACAAAACACATTTCACTTGAACCTGACAGATTTTCTCTCTACCCAAAATGTTTTGTTTTGTTTTTATGCTGTTTAAACTTTTCTAACCTTTTTAAAAATTTGGGACATTTTCCCATTTAAATTAACAACATTTTCATTTTGAAAATAGCAAAATAATATAGTAAAATCAGGTTTGTCATTCCCAGGAGACTGATGGTGATAATTATTTATCCAACACTATCAGTTGTTAGTTTTGCATGCCAAATCGAGATAAAGTAAGAATTATTTTTGACATTTATAATGAAGGAAAAAAAATTAAAGATGCAGAGTGCAAACTGTATGCACTCTAGTTTCTTCCTTGAGAACGACATGATTATACAGGTAAATGCTTGATGTTTAATTTCTTACTATAACAATTTGGTGCTCACCATATAATAATTACAAGATTATGACAGAAGATAACCATGAGTGCTTCCGTTCACTCAGCAGTAAAGTAGAAAATATTTCTGCAACATGTCTGCTCAGTATCTATGTTTTGTTGAACCAAGAAAAGGTGCTAACTATCCAATGCTTAGCAAACATCAGTTTGCTCAACAGGTGCCATGAAGGACATAAATCAGTAACTTCGAAGCCAACTAATTATCTGGAGAAAACTGCTTTATGATTTAGCGTTTGTATAAAGAATTACATGGTACCAGATGATGAATTAGCCAAAGTGTATCGTATACAAATCAATAAGACTCTGGTGGGGATGCAGTGCGCTGAATAATAAGATGATGTGATGATGAGTTATCCCAGTGAAAAACTGTAACAGGGTACTGCCCCAGGGATGACTGTGATGCCCCTGGAGCCAGGCCCTAGCCTTGCAGATGTTACCAGTCATTAGGCATTACGCCTCATTTGTCCAATCCAGTCAATCTCTCATCCATAAGCCTTTAGCCCCAGTGTCAACTGCAGTCAATGTGGGCCCCTAAACATAGAACGGTCTCTGCTATTCTGCGCGCGCGCACACACACACACACGTAATACTAGGGAGAAGCAGCTGGTCATGGTCCATGGGGGTACCAATGACATTGGAAAGTGCAGGAGAGAGGTCCTAAAGCTAGGAAGAAGGTTAAAGTCCAGGACCTCCACAGTAGTATCTTCTGAAATGCTTTCTATTCTACACACAGGGCTAGATGTGATAGCTAGAAAATGGTATTTCGAGGTTTGCTTTTGGGGGAAAGTTTTAAACTAGTGTGCTGGCCAATGGGGGCCTCTAAAGTTTCACTTCAACATTTGTGTACCGATTGGGATGTACTTGTAGGATCCCAGCTTAGGCAACTGGCAGAATAGAATCTGATTTCTGTCTTGCAGTTTCAAATGG